TTTTTTTGGAGACGGGATCTTGCTCTGTCGCCCAGGCTGGAGGGCAGTGGCACAATCTTGGCTCACTGCAAGCTCCACCTCCTGGGTTCACGCCATTCTCCTGCCTCAGCCTCCCGTGTAGCTGGGACTACAGGTGGCCGCCACCATGCCTGGCTAATTTTTTGTATTTTTGGTAGAGACAGGGTTTCACCCTGTTAGCCAGGATGGTCTTGATCTCCTGACTTTGTGATCCACCCACCACAGCCTCCCAAAATGGTGGGATTACAGGCATGAGCCACTGCGCCCAGCCAATGCTGTCATTTCTAATTGCCTGGAACACCAAGTTCCCCTTTCTTCTCCGTTCAGAAGACTCCTATTTATCCTTCAAAACCCAGCTCTAATGGCACCACTCTGTGCTGACTTACATTGATATTTCTACCAGGGACTCCTCAGGAGCAGGGACTGGATCGTATTCTTTGTGTTGGCTCCAGCACCCACAGAGTCAAAGGCGTACCTTGCAGATACTTATTCCATGAATGAGAGGCACCAATCGCTTTCAGGTTTGGGGCAGTGGGTTCTGGGCCTATGAGATGCAGTCTCGCTCTGTTGCCCAGGCTAGAGTTCAGTGACATGATCTGATCTTGTCTCACTTTATCCTGCGCCTCCCGGGTTCAAGAGATTCTCCCGCCTCAGCTTCCCGAGTAGCTGGGATTACAGGCACATGCCACCCCACTCGGCTAATTTTTGCATTTTAAGCAGAGATGGGGTTTTATTATGTTGGCCAGGCTGGTCTCAAACTACTGACCTCAAGTAATCCACCCACCTCGGCCTCCCAAAGTGCTGGGATCACAGGCGTGAGCCACCACGTCCAGCCCTGATGTCAGATATGTTTCCAAAGTTTGTTTCTTTTTTAAACTCATCCCCTTTTGTGTTTCTTTTTCCTATTTCATGATTGTTTTCCTCTTTCCACTCAGCGGTGGCTGCACTGCTCTTAAATCTGATTAACCATACTCTTACCAAGGGAAGCGCCGCTGAATAACAGCACTTCCAGGCCTATGAGCATTGTGACAATCTGAGTATCTCGCTGCCCCGAGAACAGCTGTCGCCTCAGAGGCATTTCCTGTTTCCCCTCCTTATTGCCCCCATGTCTCTGTCCTCCCTCAAATTCCAGGGTGGGCAGCAGCTCCCTCTTCTGAGTCTGGCCGTCCCAAGTCCAGACTTCTGCCACTTCCGAGTATTGTGTTTGAGACTCACACAGCTCCATTCTGCCTGGAATTTGTGAAACTCTGTGCCACCAGTTTTGTTTATTTTGTCGACACGTTAGACGTTCTTCACTAAGTGGGGCATTTCCGTCGTCACTGTCTACTTGGTGAAAAGTCCATACCTTTAAGCCCAGTCTTTCTTTATGTTCTGAAAGGCCTCCGTGAGATGCCAGGAGTGGGAGAAATCACTGGAAAAGCCCCTTGGAAATGTGCAGCATGTCATGTTCATTCACGGTATCTAAGCTGCTTCACTGATACAGGCACATGTTAAGATGTATGTTAAGAAGTGTTTACAAGCCGGGTGCGGTGGCTCAAGCCTGTAATCCCAGCACATTGGGAGGCCAAGGTGGGCACATCATAAGGTCAGGAGATCGAGACCATCCTGGCTAACACGGTGAAACTCCGTCTCTACTAAAAATACAAAAAATTAGGCGGGCGTGGTGGCGGGCGCCTGTAGTCCCAGCTACTCGGAAGGCTGAGGCAGGAGAATGGCATGAACCCAGGAGGTGGAGGTTGCAGTGAGCCGAGTTTGCGCCACTGCACTCCAGCCTGGGCGACAGAGCGAGACTCCATTAAAAAAAAAAAAAAAGTGTTTACAATGGCTTTACAATACTTAATGCCTATTTTAGTAGGGATTTTGTCCCCACAATTTGTAAAAATCTGTCTAATAATTTTACCAAGCTTAACCTTCTCTCATAGGGCCTGGTAACTCACCAGGAGCGAATGAATAAAATAAACACCATGTTGAAAACACAAACTGTGATTTTATTGATTTTCCTGTAGAGTACTGTTGGCAAGAATGGTATCTAAAATCATTTGAATCAAAATCTTCACTAAACTAACTCACTAGATGCCAGTTGCAGAAGAAAATGTTGAAATGGATGCCAATTTGGCCTTTACTCTGTAATTTTAGACTGTGCATGTGTCTTTGAACAGCTGTGCCAGAGTCCCGTTTTCTGTGATTTCTACACGCTGGCTAGCCTTGGTCTTGAGGACTTTACACACAGGTCTGGGTGGTGATAAACTCGTGAAGGGTGGCTTGGAAAGGGAGGAGCTGTTCTGGCTGGAATCACAGGTAGAATGAAGTGCTCCCACCAGACACTAGCTCATTGCTGCTTTCCTGGTTGCACGGACAGAACCTCATGTCTTTAGTTAGGGGAATAGAAAAGATCTGGGGAGTGAGCCCGAGGGTGTGGAGGGTCATCATCCCGTGTGGGAGGAGGGTTGGTGGGGTCTCTGCCATTCTGGGTTGAAGGGCTCGTGGAGGGTGTGGAGCACAGTCATCGTCGCATGCAGGAGGAGGAGGGTTGGTGGTGTGTGTGCAGTTCTGGGCTGAAGGGCATGTGAAGAGGGCAAGCCTGGCTTTGGTTTCTGTCTTCCCTGAGTCCTGAGTGAGTTACTCCATGGTCCCCCACCCTCCTCCGTAGAGTGCTCGGGGTCAGCCCAGAAAAGACCAGTTTCCTCCCTGTTCTCCCCTCCCCTACCCCCACGTTTGGTTGTACAGACTGAAGGGGTGACCCAGCAGATATCTGTGGGGGTTCAGACCTTGGGAGAAGGAAGTTCTTGGGGGTCAGCCACTAGCCCCGTTCCAGGCAGACCGTGGAGGAGTCTTGAGCATGCATTCTTCACTTCTCAACTTTTGGAGACCTTGGCCTTTTTCTCGGTACTTTATTTTTTATTTTTAAATTAATTATTTTAAACTTAATTATTATATGGAAACGATCCAGAGGGCTTGTGGGTCTCTCTTCCTCCCATTGCTCCTGCAGGGGTAGCTGCTGTTTCTGGTTCAGGATTCTGTTTCCTAAGCATGAGGTTCTGTTGCTGTCTCTTGATGTGTAAGTTTCAGATGCGTGAGCCCCATCCCTGCTC